GGTCAGGACTGGGGGCTCCCAGTTTTGCCTTCCCTGCCACTGATGGAGGATGGGAATAGAGAAGCTGGAAAGAAGAAACCTGTGCATTTGGGCTGGGGGGGCAGGGACCAGCCTGGAGCAGGGTGGGTGGCAGGGGCTAGTGGGGGGTGGCAGACATGAGCGTGGAGCACGGGGGTGCAGGGACTAGCCAGGAGTCAGGGTTGGCAGGCGGCAGGAACTTGCAAACCAGCTCGGAGCTGAACGTCCTGAGGCGCCTGCTCGGCCCCAGCAGCGCCAGAGGCTGCTCCTGGCGGGGGCACGGACCAAGGTGAAGACAGAGCCCTGGAGAGTCTCGTCCCTCTCAGAATCTACGTGGGTGCGCCAGACCCACACTGAACAGGCCATTGCCGAAGGAGCGAGCCCCCAGGGCACTACCGGACAGTCTGCTCTAGGTGGGCAGTGCCCTCGGCCGCCGGCCGGGCAGCACCCCAGCGCCAGCCCGCTCCCTCTGCAGGCACCGCCTCCTGCCGCCTGGGACCCGTGGGCACGGCAGGGCTGCTCACTGACCGTCCTCGGGGCAGCTCCCCCAGGCCCGGGAGCAGCAGGCCTCTGCAAGCCCGCCTCTGGGTGGCCTCCGCCCGCGCGGCCTCTCCTCTCCCTTTGCAATAAGCCGCCCATGCCCGTGTCATGGAGCCATGCCTGGGGCACTGCTTCTCGGGGGTCTGGGGACACTTTGCCCAGAGGGAACCCAAGGACCCCGCTCTCTGAGCACGACATCCCCAAACTCAACTTTGCCACCAGGAGCTGGGCGTGGTGGAGAGCCCCACGAGGGCCTCTCCCACACAGCACTGTCCGCCAGCCCAGGGTGGCTCTGGGCACTGGTCTCTGAGCGTCCTGCCCCGTGTCCCTTACTGCTGTCCCCGTGTGGGCCCATCCTGGTCAAGGCCCTCGTCCTGGGCCTCCGGCCTGTTAGCCACGTGGCACCCCATCACCCTGAGGTCCTCTGCACTCCTGTCCTGGCCATGACTCAGCTTTGGGTTTGGGGCCCCCCAGGGGTGGGGCACAAGGCCTGGGGACCGGCTCTCGGGGACCCTGCCTGCCTGGGGCAGGTGTGCACTCTCCAGCGGCCAGGACGTCTGAGGAGAGGGAGGGCGAGTGAGCCGAGGCCACGTGACTGGTTTCCCAGGGCACC